GTATTTATCTTGGAGTAAATGACAGCATACAAGCGGGACATATGTTACTTGATCTTAATACAAAAAAGACAGTAACGAGACCCTATGTAATGGTACTTCCGATCACCAAGCAAGTGATCAAAATTGTAGAACAAATGGCACTTGGAAGAATGGTGAAATCATATTGGATGGTGATTTGCTCGCAGGAGTGGACCCAAATGAACTGTGGGATGAAACATATATTCCACGCAAAAATGAATACAAACGAAGCAATGAGAATCTTCGTAATGAAAAGATTGATCAAAATGAAATTGATGCTTTACTTGAAGAAGTGGAAGAATTTATTGAAAACTATGATGACAAACACACCAAAAATGTTGAAGAACAGACAGAAGACAGGAGTGTTGCAAGTATTTATGAACGATTGAGACGGAGAAATGATGATGAAAATTCCGATCAAGATCCCAATCCAAATGACAAATATCAGAATGATAAGGATTTAAATGAAAAGATTCAAGAAATTGAAGAAGACATTCAAAAAGACAAGGAAGATGTCAAATCACTTGACAATGAAGAACAAATCGAGGAAACCCGCAAAACATATGAGGAAAATGACGATTTAATTGATCAAATTCAAGATGAAATCAAAGAATGTGAAAATCAAGTCAATGATGTTCACGAATTTGTGGCAAATTTGGATGATAATGAGCATGAAAATGATGAATCTGACGATAATTTGGACAAGTCAAGTGACGATGATAATTATGAAAATGATGAAGTGAATAAAGAGGACATATTCAGTCCAAGGAAAACAAGGAGTGCTAAATCTTATGTTCAAGATGGAATAAAAATGAGACCAACCGAACGCAATAATCGGGATTGACCAAGGCATAATCAACAATACCTGAATTGAAAGAAACCAAAGTGCAATTCATTAAAGAACAGGAGTGCAATGAGAAAAAAGGAAAAAGTCAAGATGATTTGAATGAAATAATTCCAATGAAGGAAAATTCAAAGCAAAGGATTCCAAAAAAAGAGTCGAAATACAATCTACTATTCCAACAGGTTGGAAGTGACAAGAAAGCCAAATATGGAAAAGATAAAGCAACTCTGATTGCGCGATTCATGCAACAAATCAAGGATAAAGTTCAAAATGAAGGAGTATTGTTTATCCAACAATACTACCTAAATAAGGGACTGAAATTATTCAAAGAAGAAGGTAATAAGGCTGTGATGAAAGAACTTGACCACAAGATTGTGAACGGCAAACAACAAACTATTTGATTTCATGTGGACAATCTATTATCAAGCCACATCGATCCAAAAGTGAATGATGATTTTTGTGAATGGATGAATCAAAAGTATGGTTCAATCAAACCAGTCAAATCTAAGTGAGGAAAAATTCACGAATATTTGGGAATGACCCTAGATTTCAGTAAAAGGGGGAAAGTCAAAGTCCAAATGGATGACTATGTTAATCGAATGTTGAATGAATTTCCTGTGAAGTTCAAGGAAAATGAAGGGCGTAAGACACCAGCAAGTAACAATTTGCTATCAATCGGAAAGAAAAAAAATTGGACGATGAGAAACGTGAAACTTTTCACACATTCATTGCCAAAGGATTATTTCTGAGTAAGAGAGCGAGATTGGATATTGCTCCAACTATTTCAGTACTTTCTACAAGAGTACAGAAACCAAATGAAATTGATTGGAAGAAGCTAGTGAAGCTGATGTATTATCTGAATGGAACAAAGGGAATGCATCTGGCGCTGAGTGCAAAAGACTTACGAACTTTCAAATGGTATATTGATGCATCATTTGCAGTTCATCCAGATTTCAGAAGTAACACTGGAGGTGTATTGACTATGGGTGAAGGAGGATTGCAAATAATCTTGAAGAAGCAGAAGCTGAACAGTTGAAGTTTGACAGAAGCCAAATTGATTGGTGTCGATGATGCTGAACACAGATATTGTGGACAAAATTGTTTGTGGAAGCACAAGGTTATCCTGTTGAAGAGAACATCTTATATCAGGATAACATAGAGTTCTATTCTACTGGAAAAGAATGGACATGATAGTGCCGGAAAGCGAAGCCGAGCTTTGAACATTTGATATTTCTTTATGACTGATCAAGTCAAGAAAGGAAATGTGACTATTGAATATTGTCCAATTGAAAAGATGTGGGGAGATTTCATGAGCAAACCTCTACAGGGATCATTGATTCAAGGAGAACAAGATTAGGAGCAACGCATTTTCCTTTGATGTTCCGTTGTCATCAACTATGTTAATGAAACGGCAGGAGTGTGTTGGATATAGTACATATTTGGAGAAACAAGAAAAAGAGGAGACATGTGAACAATAGAGAAATGATGTCGACTGATACGACTAATTATGAAGACTGATATGACTAAAAATATTGTTGTGGCGAGTCAGAAAAGATAATTATTTCTATGGAAATCATCCTGTTGATGATGTAAGAAAGCAAGATTCAAGCAAGAACCAAAGTTGGATACTAATCAAAGTATCGACTACAGTGGAAGGTGAACGGATAAGCAGATTGAACTTACAGCATATCAGGCTGACGTAGAGAGAATTCTGAGAATTTCCACTGAGCTGGAGAAGTTGACAGACTGTTCTCACTTTTTATAATATATTGCAAGCAAAGAGTGAACTGGTTGATAAAGTAAGATCTCTGATAGATCTATATACTTCTATATACTGTAAATTCATATACTTAGAAGGCAACAATACCTAAACAGCTAAATCACAGTCAATTGAACAGGTAGATTGCAGGCGGCAATGGATGGCTTACTTCTAACAGTGCTGTTTAGCTTTTGCTTCTTTTACATCACTTGAGCTGCACCTCCTCCAAAGGACAGAGTGCCGCCATTGTGGCTCTTGAAATCTGGATGCACCGCAAATGATGCGTCGATCATCCATTTCATGACTCGTAGTGATCCTGCGGAAAGTGTCAGGTGATACAACAATGTACAAAACATATATTGCATCATGCAAACACACTTCTTCCAATCAGACTCTGTAGGTTCTCAAACTCTTGAGGCAAGAATAGTAATTGCTGGATGGATATCCAAACGAGCTCTCTTAGAGACATAAAATCCCCTTGCAACAGTAGTATGGAAGATATGACGGTACTCAGCCCTGAGTAGCTTCCCTTTACTAGCTTCCAGTAAATCGTTACCAGCTGGTGTTTCCTGCTTTGAATCCTTGTTGAACTTGATAGGAAAATCTTCCAATATGTTCTTGACATAGTCGTCCATGCGGATCTTGAGTTTTCCTTTACCGAGAAATCCAAAGTCATTCCAAAATATCTGTGTATCTTTCCTCTGACGATTGTACAAGCCTGGATCAAACCATATCTCATGTTCAACCACTTAGCAAAATCGTCATTTACTTTCGGATTCATGTGACTTGACATAAGATCGTCAACATGAAATCTGATAGTTTGCTGTTTTTCATTAACAACTTTGTTAGCAACACACAGGCCAAACGGATTGAAAACAAATCCCTTTGCCTCCAAATCACTTTGAAACTGAGTATAGAATAGGAGGCTCGATTGCAACATCCCATATATAGCACGTAGTACCCGCACATAGATTACTCGCTTTCCGTTCTCTAATACAAAGTATTAGCGATACTCTGGGGCCATGTCAATCAATATCTGGACCATCATGGCAGTGATTTTCATGTATATACGATCTCTCCTTCCTTAGCATCAGGCATATAAGTTTGAATGAAAGCGTTAGGTACGTCCATTGTCATTATATCTCTACCTTCGTGTGCATCAATAACACAAGTAGTGGTGATTGCTTCCTGCAAAGCAGTTGGACTTGTGTCCTCTTGCGATAACCATTCATGAGTTCCATCGCCTCGGAATACTAGGTGACCTTTAATTGTCTTTTTGAATTGCTTCTCCGTGAGTAACATCATCGCTGATTGGGCCTTCTTTCGCTCAGATGCGGTCATGTCCTTAACAAATTTGAGAGTGAAACAATCTCTCAGGAGCATTTGTCTCAATTCCTTATCCACAGCATCCTTTCCATCATGACCAAACTTCTTCAGTCCTTGATTGATGTAATACTGTTGAATGAAGTTCAGACATTCGTCAGTATAAAACTTGGCCTTGATCTGCATCATGCAAAAATAGTAATAGGTTCTTAACGATTAATGTCTCCGTTATTATTATTATTGATCTGCATCATGCAACGAGCGATCAGAATAGCGTTGTGCTCTTCATAATCAGCTTTCATCTCATTCCCAATCTGTTGGAAACATAGATTGTGCTGTGCTTCAAGGAAAGCTTTACTGTCTTTAGTACTGTGACTTCCTTCTTTGGTACGAATACCAGATTTTAACTTGTTCTCCAACGGTTTCAATTCTCTTTCTCGATGTTTGCGTCTTGTCGCAACTCGATTCTTGTTCTTATTGGCAGAACTGCCACTCCTGCTCGAAGGTCATTCTCTTGGTCTCTTTGGAACTTGGAAAGGTTCAGCCCAGACATTGTAGCTTGCGCATACGTTTGCCCAGATCATGTGACTTTTGCTATCGCGATAACCGTTCCATCGCCTTGGTATACTAGGCGTCCTTTTATTGTCTTTTCAAATTGCTTCTCCGCGAGTAACATCATCGCTGATTGGGCCTTCTTTCGCTCAGAAGCGGTCATGTCCTTAACAAATTCGGGAGTGAAACAATCTCTCAGGAGCATTTGTCTCAATTCCTTATCCACAGCATCCTTTCCATCATGACCAAACTACTTCAGTCCTTGATTGATGTAACATAGTCATCATCTCCTCTCACAACCGACGAACAATTGATGCGCCTTCTCGCTGTCCATTGGAATGCATCTCCCTTCCGGCACATTAACATCTTCAATGTGTCCGTTGTCTTTGATTGGCAGGGCGTCGGTTCGTCCGAGTTCAATCAAGTCCAGACTGCCTACAACGCCTTCCATCAGTTTGCCTCCGGTATCTGGGGCGAGATCACTTCCACGGTCGTCCTTCTACCTTGTGCTGATGGCCGATTCACTCGACAACAACTGTGTATCCGGAACTTGAAGGAGTTTGACGAAAAGGCCAAGGATTGGGCCCACCTGAAGATCTACCTCGACCCCACTTCGGCAACCCGTACATCCTCAACAAACCTGGGAAGACTGGGTCCAAGACCTACAAGACTCGCATGCGGTTCGGGATGGACACCGCCCCTCCCATTCTCATGCAAGAACTTCGCTCCGTCTTGTCCAGTGAACCTTGGGCAGGCGTCTTCCCGACTCCGATCCAGGTTTCCGACATGGTCCGTCTTGGCTTCCTCCCGTTGCTACCACAAGAATTGGCGATTGGCCCGTACTGCAAAGACTTGATGCGTCTCTGCGACTTCCAGTATCCCATCGGCCTCATGCAAGAATGGGTCAACAATCCACGGTTCTTCTCGGCCAAATTCACTGGGTCTTCGCGAGGACTCCTGTGCTGGCACGTCTTTGTTCCAAAAGCCTTCGCTCGCGAGGCCGACCTGATCTTGGCGGCAAACTTGGACCTACGCAAGCCCAGTTGTGCTCCCTTCCAAGCGCCGACCCATTACACCAGAGATTGGCAGGCGGAAAAAGATGAATTGGTCCTTGGCAAACAGTGCCCACAGCTTCAGTCCTTGATTGAAGCCATGCGGGAAAGGACTCGGGCGACGCGGGCTCTGACTGCAATCTACCGGATTCCCATCAAACTCCTGGGCATGCTGACTTCGGCTGCAATTGAGAAGTTTGGAAGGCTCACCCTCCTACGATTCCTTCTTGCCGTCATCGTCACGGGCGCCCAGGCCAAGAAGGCGGAGGATGCAGAACCCACGAAGCCACCGACCAAGACCCTTGACGTGCTGAGTGATAGCGAGTCGTCCGGTGACGACGATGATGATGACAGTCCCCCAACCTTCGAGTGGACCACCACCATCAAAAAGTCTTTGTTTGCTTCCACTCCAAAACCTGTGGAGGACAAGAAAAAGTCCCTCCTCACGGCACCCAAGTCGCCCGAGGACAACAATGCCTGGATCGACCAGCTTGCCCAGATGGACCTTACCAAAGACAGACCAAGCCCTCTGTTCTTCATGATCCTACCGGCCGAGGAAGATGGTTGCTACTTTGTGGTGGTTCGCCAGCGCTATCTCCCCCTTGCAATGAACGTGCTCGACAGCCTGCCGTCCTTTCTCCAGTTTCACCTTGGCGAGTCTTCATTCCCCAATTTCATTCGAGTTATCAAGAACTGGTCCGCTACCGACCTCGCCTACCAGAATCGCAAGCTTCATGTTGCATGGGTCCCGTTGGAGCTACGCTCCCGCTGTATTGACGATCCCACCGACGATCAAGGTCCTCAAGTCCGTGATCCCATGGACTTCCTTCTCTGCATGGAAGACCCTGTGGAGATTCTTGAGGGCACTCTCCAAATTGACATTCACGCCAAACATGTTCGTGACGTAGATGATGGCCTTTCTGTGATCGGTTACCTCGACGATTGGAACAAGAGTCAGGCCCAGCTCCAGACCGCTCTCCAGACCATCGAGACCATTACTGACGAGAAGAACAGTTTGAACCGGGATCTACAGTCCGTTCGTGACGAATTGGAGGCAATGAAGGCCGCCCAAGAGGCAGCTGCTGCTATGTCAGAGTTGGCTACAGACATTAGGCCCATTCCGATGCTTACAGTGGACGTTCCTACCGGTCCACCGGGCCAAACACGCGTCAGCACTACTACAGTACTCAGTCCCTCGGCTCGTACCATTGCTTCACCAGCGACGGCTCAAGAAACGGACGGAGAAGATGGGGAGGACCAACCCAACGCGTCCTCTCCTATGGACACCGGTCGTGGGGGTATCAGTACCCCCACGACGGGTCCATGATAAACAAAAGATCGCCTGCTGCTCGGTTGCGGCGGAACAGGTATAGATCGTTTATCACCAGCAACCAGTCAAGAGCGGCTCCACACACCTCTCTTGATTCCCTCTTAAGTTCCTTCCTTCCAGGAGATGGTTTTGGTGACAACCATCTTGCTCGTGCACCGGGTTCCGCCCGGCTCGCCTTCCAGAATATTAACACTATTCCCAACGAGTCAGACGACCCTAAACAAGCGCAACTCAACCACTGGATTCAAAGCGAATGTGTGGACTTTTTACTTCTGGCTGAATTGAACAAATTCTGGCCAGCGATTACACTAACCAACCGATGGCGTGCTGGCTCGGAAGGGCAAAGGTTTCCATTCGGCGGTGGCCTACAATACCCATCAACCACGGGCGGCCCATTCTACCACTCAATTTGGGGGCTGCTCGACTTCTGCCTTCAACAAAGTATCTCACCGAGTTAGGTCCAGTGGCGACGATAGCTTGGGGCGATGGGCTTGGATACGTCTTCAGGGCCGAACACGAGGCGTTGGCCAGCGCGACTTGGTGGTGATCTCTGCCTACCGTCCAAACCCACCTAACGACGGGCATCAAACAGTGTGGTTCCAACATAAGGCCCACTTCAGCCGCACCAACCGCGATGCAGAACCCAGGGAGGCTTTCATCAAGGACCTCTCGACGGCTATCAACAAATGGCGCGACGACGGCTGTTCTATCATCTTGGGCATCGATGCCAACGACGACTTATCCTCCTACTCCCCGAAGTCTTTCCGTTTTCGGATGAGCGAAGTAGGACTGGTCGAGGCGATCCAGTCTAAGCACCCAGGGTCCCATCAGGCCACTTACCAGCGGAACCTCCGTGGGTATCCGATTGACGGTATCTTCGCGACGCCTGACGTGCCCATCCTGGCCGGCGGGTACTACCCTTTTGACGAACACGTCGCCTCCGATCACCGTGGCCTGTGGATCGACTTTGACTTGAACAGTCTCCTTGGCGGACACCAACCTACGAAATCCACCCATGTTCCACGCCGGCTGGTGATGCACAACAAACGGGTGGTTCAACGATATGTCCAATTGGCGGAGCAGGGTTATATGCGGTACAATATTCCGGGTCGTCTCTCTACCCTAGGATTCGATGTTGCCCGACAGCAGGGCGTCATCACCAAATCCCAGGCGGTCAGATTCGATCGGATACACGCTGATGCCTACACAGTTTGACGGTTGGCGGAGCAGAACTGCAGGAAGTTGTCAATGGGCGGGGCAGCATGGTCTCCGACGGGCCAATCCATTCGGGATCGGATCACCTTGTGGCGCCTTCTCCTCAAGGGCCGACGTCAGTGCCGGGTGAGCTCCAGGAAGATTCGCCGCCTGCTGCTCAAGACAAACGAGCCCTTGGCCTGGAAGTTGACCACAGCCGAACTTGAGTCCCATCTCACCCAAGACCTTGGTCAATATCGAGAAGCCAAGAGGGGCCTCACTTCTAAATGGCGGAAGGCTCATGTCACTGCCCGCACCAGAGCATTGCTAAAGTCCGCCACAAGACGGCAAGCCAACAAGAACGATATCACCGCTTACGATCCATGAAGCAACGCGAGGAGACTCGTCGGAGGCGCAAGGCTCGTTCCTCCGGTTTGTCTGGCGGTCTAAGAGCTATTCAAGTCGAAATGGAGGACAGCTCTGGCAATTGTCGGTTACAGACCATTACTGACCCGACGTCGGTCAAAGATGGATGCATGCAAGAAAATAGGGCCAGGTACCAACAAACCCAGACCCCACATCCAACTCCTCCCATGTCTGAGCCTCTCTACACTATGTTCACGGGCCCCAACGCCGACAACAACCAACAACTTCTTCTGGAGGGCAAACTCCCTATCCCTGGTGGCCTTGCTTACCCTACCCAAGCCTTCCTTCGCCACTGTCGACTGCACGACAGTTATTGGCCTCGTCCTTTCCCCTTGACGGTTGAAGAGCACGTGGACTTTTGGAGTCGCACCCCTGAGAATAATGGCCACTTCAAGGCAGGCGCCCTTTCGGAACTGTTGGCTTCTTGTGATACAGCGTTTTGGGACCTTCCACTCCGTTCAGGCCATGTTCCGGAACTCTGGAAGAACCTGATGAACTTTGCAATTGAGAAGAAGCCTGGCGACTTCCGCCCACAAGGGATGCGGACCATCCAGCTGTTCAACTCGGAGGCCCAGGCCAACTACAAGAAGGCGGGTCGGGCTGCAGAGGAGGATGACATCATCCCTGCAGGACAGTGTGGGTCATGCAAGCTGCACCAGTCCATTGATCTCGCCCTTTCCAAACGATTGATCTGGGACTCGCTCATCCTGGAACGACGGTCTTCCGGCTGGATCTCAAACGACGCGACGGCCTTGCGGAGATTTGGCCTGCCGGTCACTGTCACCAACCTAATGTTCGATATCTTGGCCAAGGCTAAACACAGGGTCCGAACTGGCTTTGGCGACTCGGATCGGACCTTTGGGCCCACTGGCGATGTTCCCTTCCAAGGCTGCGGTCAAGGCAACGGCGCAGGCCCGTGTATCTGGGTTGCAATCAGTGCCATCCTCATTGACGCCATGGAGGCCGAGGGATTTGGGTATAAGAGCAACACTGCCCTCACTAACGAGGAGTTCTTCGCTTCGTGCTTCTGCTTTGTTGATGACACCGATGTCATGGAGTCCAACGACAACGTGGAGACGGCTGGCAAAGACCTCCTCCCTTTGGTACAATCGGCTTTGGACCTATGGTCAGGTGGCATCAGTGCCACTGGTGGAGCTATCAACCCGGCGAAGTCCTTCTGGTGGCTGATTGATTTCAAATGGCGGCCGTCCTCTGGCACGCGGGCGTTTCGAAGGAAGGCTGAAATGCCTGGCGAATTGACCCTCCAAGACCCGACTGGGGCGTGGGCGACACTATGACACCTCCAACCCGATGAAGCTGAACGGACCCTGGGAGTCATGATGGCCCCACTTGAGGCCGGAACTGCACAGCACCATGCCCTGCGGGAGAAGGCCAAAACCTGGGCGGCCAAGTTCCGTCCCCAACAAAGCTGGGGTTTGCCGTTCCTTTCCCCGCGTCGTGGTCTTTGCCCCTCTGAAGTACCAGGGATTGGGTATCCCGCATCCTTTCGCCCTTCAAGTCTTCCACCATCTCAGTGTTCTAATGCGCCATTTGGCCAACCGTACCAAGACCGGCCAGTACCTGGAGGCCAACCTACAGTCCCACCAACTCGAAACGGGCACCTCCTTTCCCCTTCTTCAACAAGAACCCACCAACACCGGGATCCTTGCCTCCGAAACATGGCTCAAACGGGTTTGGATCGAGCTCGACTCATTGGGCATCAGAGTCGAGATCTCCTCCCCTCCCTTGTCCCTACACTGTGCCAACGATCGTCTCTTGATGGACATCTTCATCGATGCCTTGGTCGGCCAAGAGGACTTGCTGTGGCTCAACTGGTGCCGCCAATATCTCCAAGTCACCACCCTCTCGGAACTCACCACCGCCGACGGTTGTTCCCTGACGGCAGCTTCTCTTGCCGGCCACCCCTCCGGACACTTTGTGGCCAGCTAAAATTGGCCCCAAACTCGACGCCCTGGCCCCTCTCACTGGGACCTATGGAAATTGCAGCCCCTCGGACCGTGGTCTGATTTGCTAGACCGCTGGACCTGGCTCTTCTCTCGCACCGCTTTGATCCTCTTCCATCGGACGGACAAAAACCTGGCAATCTATCGGCCCATCAACTCGCGTTCACATAAGACCTTCCAAAGGGATCTTCACCACACCTGGATGGGCACCCTTCCCGGGGACGTCCAACAGGCCTCAGTCAACCTTCACCCAAGGACAGCCTACGTCACTGTCACGGGCACAGCCCCGGTAGATCTACCAGACCAGGAGTCCTTGCCAGCTTCAATCCTTCACATCTGGAGGGAATTGGCAGCCAACATGGACGACAATTGGGGATGGGTCCCGGAATCCATCTACATTGAGGGTGACGAACAAGTCCTCCTGGAGGCACTGGAGAAGGGAAAGCTATGGGTGATCAGCAATGGCTCCTTCAAGCAACAAGTGGGCACAGCCGCTGTCCAGCTGCGAACTAGACCGGGAGGGCATGTCATCTGGATCAAGTGCCGTACACCTGGTAAGCGAGAGGATCAGAGTGCGTACCGGAGTGAACTTATTGGTCTGTTGGCTTCTTGGCTCCGCCTACGCCTACAGTCCCTTGCCAAGCCATGAGTCCGTGTGGCGTGTGATGGGATTGCCGCGCTTTGCCAGGCCTTCTCGACTTGGCCGCTGTCTCCCACCGCCCCACACTTTGATCTCTTGTCCTCCATCCGCGAGGCCCTCCAAGTTTCCAACCTATCCTGGGCCAAACAACACGTGGGTGGCCACGCTGACCGAACCAAGACATGGCGACAGATGTCTTGGTGGGAACGACGGAACTCCGAGGTGGACGACATTGCCCAGGGCTACGCCGACGAGCTGATCGCCACCAATGACACGATCGCCACCAATCCCAAGTTCTTCTCCAAACCCTGTGCGATCTACATCGACAACACGAAGGTCTCCTGCCTGGCCTTGGAATCGGTGGACGACGCCGTTGTCCTGCCGGAATTGATGGAATACTGGGCAGCCAAAGGCCGCCTCGCTCCCGAACACTTCCGATTGGTGGACTGGCCGATAGTCCACCGCGCGATGAAGTCTCTGAAGCCCGCCAAACAGCGCTTCATCACAAAACACACCGTTGGGATGTGCTGTGTCGGCAAGTTCCGTAAACGATGGGGCCTCGACTCCGAGAACCGATGCCCCTTGTGCGGCCTGGAGGAAGACCACCTACACGTCCCCCGCTGCCCTTCTGACCCGGCCAAGACCCAGTGGCAGCTCCTACTCTAAGAACTCCACCATCACCACTGCTACGCCCATCGCCCAATTCCTCGGGGCCCTCCTTCGCACCATCCGCACCCCTCACAACCAGCCTCAAACAGAGACTCCGTGGTACCGCCTACACAGAATGTCTTCGTCCGCCCTCACCCAAGTCTGTGAGGCCCAACTCCGCCTTGGCCCCCACTCGTCCACGACTGGGCCGACCTCCAGCAACAATTCTACCGCTCTCGCGGTAGTCGCCGATCCGGCAACCGCTGGGCTGCCAATCTATCTCGACAGCTCATCCTTATCGGTAATGGCATGTGGAAGCATCGCAATGATGTCTTTCATTCTGACGACAACATCGTCAACCAACAGCGCGCGACTGCTCTCGATCGACGCATCCAGGAAGAGTTTGACATGGGTCCCCGCGACCTACCTCGGAACCTTCGCCCTGTCATCCGTCGATCCCGCCTTGTAGACGTCCTCTGACTCCACCTGGCGGACAAGGAGGAATGGGTCCTCGTCATCTCCAAAGCCCGCCGCAAAATCAGACGATCTCTTACAGGCAGGCGACGATTGATGTGGGTACTGACCCACCCTACCCCTCGCCCAGCAGCCCCCTGACTTACTTGTCTACATATTTACCAAAGTGATTCTGGTACCGGTACATCACAAGCCACACGTAACCCAGTCTAACACATACATATTCTCCACCCCACCTTGCATGGGAGAGCCGATCGTCCCTTGACACTTTCGATCCTCTATTGAACGCCTCCACGTGGTTCAAACTTTGTTGACCAAAAGCAACCTAGTTCCTGGCCTCTACAGCCGTATTACACCGGCAGTTGAATACTCTAGAAGTAGCATAATACCAATTAATGATTCACTTATATATACAGTAAATCGTTACCAGCTGGTGCTTCCTGCTTTGAATCCTTGTTGAACTTGATAGGAAAATCTTCCAACATGTTCTTGACATACTCGTCCATGCGGATCTTGAGTTTTCCTTTCACCAAGAAATCCAAAGTCATTCCAAGATATCTGTGTATCTTTCCTCTGACGATTGTACACGCCTTGATCGAACTATATCTCATGTTCAACCACTTAGCAAATTTGTCATTTACTTTCGGATCCATGTGACTTGACATAAGATCGTCAACATGAAACCTGATAGTTTGCTGTTTTTTATCAACAACTTTGTTAGCAACACACGGGTCATACGGGTTGAAAACAAATCTTTTTGTCTCCAAATCACTTCGATACTGATTATAGAATAGGAGGCTTGATTGCAACATCCCATATATAGCACGTAATACCCGCACATAGATTACTCGCTTTCCGTTCTCTAATACAATAGTCTGGGGCCATGTCAATCAATATCTGGACCATCATGCCAGTGATTTTCATGTAGATACGATCTTCTCCTTCCTTAGCTTCAGGCATATAAGTTTGAATGAAAGCGTTAGGCACGTCCAGC